CAAGACCACGACGCGCGGAAAGCACTATATAAAAAGTACCATAGAGCTTTCAATATTGTGGACGGGACTGATACTGCCCTTATGGCAACCAGCATGGGACTAGGGGCGGCAGGTGTTGGGTTGTTAGCCACCATCGTGGCCGCACCTATAGTGCTAGGCATTGAGATAACAGCTGGGGTGGTAGGGGTGGAAGGGTTGGTGTTTAAGTTTGCATCCCGCTGACTGCATCGTAAGGCATTGAAACACAACGAGATCAGGGTTCTAGCCGAAGCAAAGCTGAACACGGTAAGTGAGCGTATTTCCACGGCACTCACTGACAGTAAGATCTCAGAGGAGGAATTTCGTTCAATCCTCTCTGAACTTGACAAGTACCTTAAGATAAAACAAGAAATCCGGTCCAAGTCTCGTAAGTCTGCTATCAGTGAAGACGAAAAAAAAAAGTACATAGAACAGGGGGTACGAAAAGCCCAGCAAGCCTTTATTACGAACACCATAGAGATCATAGGCGATTCACATTAAACTGTTTCATCGAGGTCAACGCGACATAGCGACACTATTGTGCCACGTTGGGCCGGGAAGTTAACTGGGGGTTCAAAAGTAGTAGACAATGGGGGGCGAGATCTAAGGGCCTAACAAAAGCTTTATTTGTGAAATAAAGCTTTGCAGAGGCTTTTGTGGGACTTGGTCTCGGACCGCTATTGTATCTACTACTGTCAGTGAGTAGAAACACAGGCAAGTGAAACACGTTGTTGGTCGATACTGAGTTATTGCCCATGTATTGCAGCTCAGCAGGTGGCAGCTTGTAGGGTGTCTTATGTGATGGGATCAACGCGTTTGTTTCCTTGGAGATAAATATTAACTTGAAAATGATTTTCATATTTTATTTGTGTTTGAATCATGTGTTAATGGCCGTACAATTGTTCTAGGAATACACACGAAAATGCACACACATACATACATTCCATTGCATTAGACAATGAATTACATCTGAAAACTATGAAATATTGCATAACTAGTTCAACTGAATACATTATTGCATTATCACTAATATATTCCGAAGGTCACCTTTCGTGACCATGTGAATATATTCAGGGCAAAATTTAATTCTGGATATAAATTGAATAACAAGAATATTCGTGTATTTGTGAAATATAAACAGGTCATTTATTCATTTATTCATATTCGGGATAAAAAACGGCCTTGTGTGTTTTCATTGTTTTCACCTTGTTGTTATTGTTTGTTTGTAGTTTAACACAGCGAAAACAAAACAATGGCTGATAGTGTGAACAACTATCAATATCGGAGTGAATTGATACGCATTCAACCACGTCGCATTGTGTGCCTGTTTATAAGAAGGGAACCATTTCGTGTTATAACAATCACTTACATCATGTCCGTCTGTGAAATACATGTTGTATACAACACACACATGTCACTAAGACGGCGGAGTTGTTTCCCTTTCATTACACGGAGCTATGACATGACGAGATTGCTCAGCTGATGGTGACACGAAGTAACCATAGTCCAGGAAGTATTGTCCGATTTCACAACAGTTTACTTATTCACAGCCTTGTGAAAATATATTTTGTTATTAAATATGGTCTATGCTCACAGTCATTTTAGTATTCATTTATTCATATTCGGGATAAATCTTTCTTGCACATAAATATTAAGATGTTTCAACACCAGTTATATTACAGCTTGTTAGTGACAAGGGAGGAGAGGTGAAAGTCACAACAAGGAAGACATGACCACGTTGACGAAGGCATGTAAGCATGTGGTGATATCAACCCAAGGTTCATAATACAGACTGGCTACCAGTGACCTGTTTTGACTGGAACAAGCAGATTCTATATCTTTCTGAAATAGACAGACAGAGTTTATTTCCAGTAAAAGGCCGTAGGCCCAAAATACATTCAAAAGGAATTTCAGTGTAGTCAGGGGCACAGTGATCATTCAAGTGTGTTTATAATTATCCTTTTAACATAAAATAGATACAAGGCAACATATTTTACAGTGTCTACATTAGTATTCTTGAAAAGATTTGGTAAAGAATATACAGTATAAGGCTTTTTAACACATTTTGTAATAAACCTCTCTCTTAGTTGTGAATAGGATTCACAAATGAACAGTACATGAAATTCATCTTCAATATAGGACCTTTAGATTTACATGATGTACAAAATCTTTGATTATAATCAGTGTTTTAACTTTTGATGCCCATGTTGTTCTACCACTATCATCTAATGACTTAAGTATAAGGTAGCTTTGAAAAGGTAATCTGTCATGAGGAAGTTGTAACAATCTACACCAATATTTGATTACACGGGTCATATAATTAAACTGCAAGGGCAATCTGCCACATTCACCCAGGGCCATGGAATTGCAAGATGACCTATTTATTTTAAGATACTTTTTACAAAAATCAAGCTGTACCGATTCAATACTTTTACAATAAGAAGTTCCCCATATTTCTGAGCCATAGCATAATATTGGTGTGATCAATGCATTTTGAATAAATCTTTACAGTTAATGTTTCCGAATTTCTTTTGAAAGTGATTAACTGAAAAAAATTGCCTTTCTAGCCTGAGACCAAACAAGTTTTGGTGTAAATATAATCCCAAGATATTTATAAAATGATACTGTTTCTATTTGTTCCTCATTAAAATACCACTTTTCATAAGATCTAAGAGTCCCTCCGTTTCTGAAAACAACCACTTTTGTTTTCTTAAGGTTTGCTTTCATTCCTGTTTCCTTGCAAAATAATTCAAGGGCATTTATCTTTTTTTGCAGTTGAATACAAGTGTCTGAAAGAGCCAAAACATCATCAGCAAACATAAGGGCATACACGTTATTGAAAACAGCAGTGATAAATATGCCCTTACCACCTTCACTTTGCATAATTGTGCATACATGATTAATAAATATTATAAATATCTGAGGGCTTAAAATGCATCCCTGGCGGGTACCCACATTACAAGAAAATTGTTTAGAAAGTACCTCAGGGGTTCTAACACAGGCACAAAGTGAATTATAAATACATGTGATAATATCTAAGAACTTCCCATCTAATCCAACCTTATGAAGAGAAACTATAAGTATATCATATTTAAGAGTATCGAAAGCTTTTGAAAAATCGATAAAAAGACAACAAAATCTTCCCTGTTTTTCACATGAATATTTCTGTATGACAGCCTGAAGTGTAAAAATGTGGTCTGTTGTAGAATAGTTTTCCCTGAAGCCAGCCTGATATTCACAAGTGATATTATTTAAATCACACCAGATTTTTAATCTTTTATCAAGAATTGATGTAAATAATTTACAAAGGGAATCAATGAGGGATATACCACGGTAATTATCGGGGTCGTTCTTGTCGCCAGATTTTAACAAAGGGCAAATTATGCTCTTACTCCAACTGGGAGGGAAATAGCAAGAGTCATAAATTTTGTTCAAAAGAACAGTGAGAGTAGGAACAATGAAACATCTCGACTCCTTTAGAAATTCATTAGCAATTCCGTCTGGACCAGGGGCTTTACTGTTTGGCAAAGAGAGGATTGTTGTAGATATTTCTTGTTCGGAAAATGGTTGGTTAAAAAAAGAATCAGTGTTGCTTGTAGATTGTAAAGGTGAAGGTAAACGTTCTGGTGTGTTTTGAGGAGTATTAATGCATAACAGATTTGAGAAGTGATCAGTCCACTGTTGGCATGTGATATTGGATGAAAGTTGTGGTGAAGATCTGCAATTTTTAAGTGTTTTCCAAACTAATTTAGGGTTAGTGCTTGCTGCTACTAGTTTATCTTTCTGTTTATTTTGGAAATGTAATCTTTTTTGCTTAAATGTACATTTGAAGAGTGTTCGTAACTGTCTGAAGATATCAAAGTCTGCATTGTGATCTCTATGGGCTCTGAGTGCTGCATATATGTCATGCTTTAAGTTTTCTAATTCCTGATCCCACCAAGGTGGTTGAGTTCTCATTTGTGAAGGAAATGAACCATTATATATATGGTTTTTGTGTGATCAGCTGCTTTCTGAAAAAGAATTACTAAATCGATATTGTTATGGATGAGGCCATTTAAATGAGTGTATTGATTATTAAACAATGACCTGAAGTTTGTAATGAATGCACTGTTTTCATCCTTGTACCACATGTATTTTGTCCATTTATCCTGTTTACCCTCATGTGCATTACTGTTAGAGGTGAGCATGGTAGAATGAGCAGTGGAGGAGAGCTTACTGTTATGTGTGTTGATATTGAGTGTACATGACAGTGGAAAGTGACATGAGTTATCTAGTGTTCCGACGTTAAACTGCGTGATGAAAGGAAATAATGATGAAGAAGCTTGCATGTAGTCAACTACACTGCACCCGTTATAAGTAAAGCATGTGAACTGACCACATAAATCATTTGCTAATCTACCATTTAAGGCATGAATGCCAAAAGTGAAACATAATTCAGCAAGTTTTCAACATTATCATCTGGATATAACCGAAGAAGTCCTTCATTCTAGCATTCAGGTCACCCCCTAAGAACAGATGTTTGTCAGGGTGATCTGCAGTGATTGTGCACAAATAATCTTCAAGTACTGACATGCCATGAGTGTCACTACCCTTATATATGGGAGAGTTCTCTGGCGACAGAAATGGGAATATCAAAATAGTGTCTATTTCCCATCCATAACTACTTGTGCAGAACAGAAGTACAACACAATTTTCAAAATTAGTGTAGATACGGCTAATGAAATCGTTGGAAAATAAGTGGTCCTTAATTAAAACAGTAATGCCGCCGCTATATCGGCCAAGCCGATGCATTTTTTCACGTACACAGTTTATTGTTGTATAGCCGACGAGAAAATCGCTGAACTGATTGTCTTTGCGTACAAACGACTCACAGAAAATAATAATGTCAAACTTGGCGCAATATTCTTTAATAGGGGATAACAGATTGTCGTATTTATGCAAACCTTCAATGTTCCAGACAAGAATATTTATTCCATGTTTGTTTACATCAGGGCCTTGGCCACGTCCTCATTCGTTCGGATTGAGAGTGGCCTCCGTTGATCTGCTTCCGGGGGTGTGTCGATCAGCTGATGGTGTAAACAGATCCGCGTGGTGTAGCTGAAGCTGCGTCGCTGTATGAGATGGGTTGGCTGGTAGAATGAGGGAAGGGGGAAGTTCTTCCAGCAACCTGAACAATGTCTTTCTTGCTTCTATCGTACACAAAGGAAGCTTCGTTGTCTTTCAGTGGCATTTAGAAGTTGTACAGTGATGTCCAAGATATTTTATGGATTAAACTTCTTTTTAATTTCTCTCACAACGTTTCGAGACCATTCCAGGTCCCTTCATCAGGTGAACTGGCAGTTAGGACTATGACGTCGTCACTATGACGTCATTACTGAGTTATGACGTCACAATGCAAGTGACATCACAGTACACTAGGGAGAGTACTGTATAAGTGAGTTAGTTACATAATGATGAAATTCATGCTAAATAATAGAGTTGAAAGTTGAATTGTCAATACACAACAACTGCTAATTACACAAAGGTTACTTGATAGCAGGCTTTCCAAAAAGAATAGTAGACTCGTTTTTTCTTGTATCTAAAGTTCATCAAAAGTTCATCAAAAGTTAATCAAGAGGTCCCACGCACTTGGCAGGTATACACCTTGATCACGATTAATTGCTGGTTTATGTCTCCTTATCTCGACAGCTTCCTGTAGTTTTCTCCGACGCCAGTCATTGTTATTTCTCGAAATCACCCTAATATCATTCCACATGATTACATGACTTGGGTTATTTGCCTTGTGCTCCGATATAGCTGACTTATCATTTTGTTTGCATACTGATGACTTGTGTTCAGCAACCCGGGTGTTAATGGGCCTGAGAGTCTCGCCAATATATTGATCGCCACAGCTGCATGGTATTTGGTATACACATCCTCTAGGGTTGGGGCTTCCATTGCAAGATCCTCTACCATTTGCCCGGAGGAGTGTCTTAATTGCTGTACCGCTAGAGAAAGTTATATCAAAGCCCGCTTTGCTCTTGATTAGTCGGGCTATTTGATGGCTGACTGGTCCCACGTAGGGTATTGTGATCCTGATCGGGGATGGTTCAGGCTTGAGGCGCGGTTCTGATACTTCAAGCGTTTTGGTGATAGTCCTGGAGACAAGACGGGCTGGGTAGCCATTGAGGACGGTAAAGGTTCTCTTGAGGTAATCAATTTCACTGTTTAAATTATCTGGGTGACAGATCGACTTGGCTCTTCTAGTGAGAGTAGCAATAATTGCTTGTTTGATCTGTGGGTGGTGACAGGAGTTGTAATTGATATACTGATCCGTGTGAGTTGGCTTCCTGTACACAGAAGTGACGAGACCTTTGTCTGTAGATTGGAGGGCAACATCTAGGAAAGGAAGTTGCCGGTTCTGCTCAGTCTCCATTGTAAACTTTATCCTCGGATGCTGGTTGTTGAGGTGCTGCAGTAGCTGTGCTGGGTCATCTTGCTTGTCTATGGTTGTGAACGTATCATCTACTTTGCGATACCAGCACAAAGGTTGAAAGGGTGCTGTGGAGAGAGCAGATTCTTCAAAGGAGGTCATATATATTTCAGTGATAAGCGGTGACAATGGTGAGCCCATAGGCAGGCCATGTATCTGTCTATATATCTTGTCATTAAATGTGAAATAAGAGAAATCAAAACAGGTTGTAGCGAGGTTAATGATGCTATTTATCGTGAGACTGGTGTCAAGTTCTTTGATTCGAGTCTGGAGCTTGTTCCGGAGAATTTCCAGGGCTTCTGGCAAAGGGATGTTAGTGAATAGGTCAACTACATCATAGCTGACCATGGTACCGGAAAGTTGATCTTCTTTCAACTTGCTTATAAAGGCCGATGAATCGCTGATGAATGCCTTCCCATCTTTACCTAAGGGTGCCAGGATGCGTGAGAGGTGCTGCGCAGTGCTGTAAAAGACGGATCCTCGTGAACAGACAAGTACCCTGGCTTTTGGTGGGTTCTTGTGTATTTTTATGGTTGCTCTACCATATGGAGCTTGAGAGTTGATAGGATTGAGCTTATTAAAGACACTATCGTTTATCTCTCTGTTTTCGTGAAGCTCCTTAAGGGTCTTCTTATGCTCACGCTCAAGTTTTGCAGTGGGGTCTTTTGTGATGATGAGATAGGTTGAGGTATCAGAAAGGCTGTTGTTTATGAGCTGTTCGAAGTCTTGTGTATCCATGATAACAGCTGCTTTACCTTTATCGGCTTCAGTGATGGTGATAGCTTTATCTTGTCTGAGTTCAGCAATTGCTTGTCGTTCTTGCACAGAGAGGTTGTTCCGTGGCCTGGGCGCCTTCTTGATGGTGTCTATAATCTGGTGACGTAGGTAATCCACGTTGCCATTCGGTGCAAGTTGTTGGAGACCACTCTCTATGCTTGTGATGAAAGCATCAGTGTTTATCTTAGCACTCACAGGTACATACTTTAATCCTTTGGCAAGGAGCGAGGTCTGGGCTTCTGCTACTCTCACTAGAAGAGCCAAGTCGATCTGTCACCCAGATAATTTAAACAGTGAAATTGATTACCTCAAGAGAACCTTTACCGTCCTCAATGGCTACCCAGCCCGGCTTGTCTCCAGGACTATCACCAAAACGCTTGAAATATCAGAACCGCTCCTCAAGCCTGAACCATCCCCGATCAGAATCACAATACCCTACGTCGGACCAGTCAGTCATCAAATAGCCCGACTAATCAAGAGCAAAGCGGGCTTTGATATAACTTTCTCTAGCGGTACAGCAATTAAGACACTCCTCCGGGCAAATGGTAGAGGATCTTGCAATGGAAGCCCCAACCCTAGAGGATGTGTATACCAAATACCATGCAGCTGTGGCGATCAATATATTGGCGAGACTCTCAGGCCCATTAACACCCGGGTTGCTGAACACAAGTCATCAGTATGCAAACAAAATGATAAGTCAGCTATATCGGAGCACAAGGCAAATAACCCAAGTCATGTAATCATGTGGAATGATATTAGGGTGATTTCGAGAAATAACAATGACTGGCGTCGGAGAAAACTACAGGAAGCTGTCGAGATAAGGAGACATAAACCAGCAATTAATCGTGATCAGGGGTGTATACCTGCCAAGTGCGTGGGACCTCTTGATTAACTTTTGATGAACTTTTGATGAACTTTAGATACAAGAAAAAACGAGTCTACTATTCTTTTTGGAAAGCCTGCTATCAAGTAACCTTTGTGTAATTAGCAGTTGTTGTGTATTGACAATTCAACTTTCTACTCTATAATTAAGCATGAATTTCATCATTATGTAACTAACTCACTTATACAGTACTCTCCCTAGTGTACTGTGATGTCACTTGCATTGTGACGTCATAACTCAGTAATGACGTCATAGTGACGACGCCATAGTCCTAACTGCCAGTTTACCTGATGAAGGGACCTGGAATGGTCTCGAAACGTTGTGAGAGAAATTAAAAAAGAAGTTTAATCCATAAAATATCTTGGACAAGAATGTCAAAGTTTTTATTATTGTCACCTTTCATTTCAGTCAGTATCGTGATGATTTCATTAGGTTCCCTTCCACCTGCGGCAATGCCCAGTGAACCTTCCCGATCGCCTGTTAGGGTTTGTTGTCGGGTCTGGGGTCCCGGTCCTGGGTTAGCTTCCACCAAGCCACATGTCACCAGCAGAGTACTAAAAAGTACTAGAAGCCTCAGGGACATCACGATGACAGATTATTTGGTTTAAAGTCCATGGATCGACGTTTTGCGTTTGTCAGGTTGATTAAACGTGCCGATTTTTGCTCGATATTAGTTCAAACAGATGCCCATTGTGTGAGCTGTTCAAAACAGGGAGTCACTTACGTTGCTTTGCTTAAATTTTAGAGGGGGTCATTCACGTTGTAAACAACAACAACAACAACAACAACACAACAACCCCCCCGCCATAAATTATGAACAGTCCCTAAATGAGGTCAAATATACTAGTTCTCTGAACTTTATATTTTTCATATCGTAGAGTAGTTCGTGTAGAACGTGATATTGTCGTGAAAAGTATTGGTTAAATGGACATTAATTAGATGGTTCACAAGACTCCGTACTCAACTTAATTACCTTGTAATGACTTATAATTCCTGCTGACACTTGCAATCAACAGCACTGTTATTTGTTTAGTCAGTCCTGCAGCAACTTCCAAACACCCTTCGTTGTATCTCAGGGACAAGTGGCTCGACGGTAGTCTCAGGGGGTTTCCCTTCTTGGAAAACAACACGGAAGCTTTGGGTTGATTACAACTGATAAGTTATAAGGTTACTTCATGACACAATCTTTGACATAGAGTCATAGTACCTATATACATAAGATCTCCCATGCAAAGTTTACGCTTACAGAGGAGATGAATCACAATAGCTAATTTTAGCGTTGTGTGTACTTGGGACGAAGTGGTGATTTCCCTTGATCTCTTTCTCACTGCCTCTATATTGGACAGACCAATTCAAATCAACGAAAAAGGAAGGCAAGGTAATTGCAGAAATGTGTTCTTAAAATTCAATTAATATGGGAGATGATGATGTTGATGATGATGATGATCCTTTTTTTCATTCTAGGACGAAATGACCTTGATCATATCAACAGTAACTCTTCTACTACAGCTGCTATGTTCAGGTAAGAACTTATATAGTATGACCAGCAATTATTGAGAATTTTAGGAATATGTTTAATTGGATTTCTAGTATAAACAACCTTGGCCAGCTATCAAGTGCTTGGTTTCATTCAAGAGAGACAACTCCGTTAATCCTTTTTCATTAGTTTGTGAAGAGGTATCCCCCTTTGTTTACTTGCTAGCAGACGACATACTGAGTGATCCTCAGTATGGATGATTTAGAGAAGAGGAAGTTGATTTTAGAGTATTATAACAAGGACATCAGATCAGCTAAAGGGATTTCAAGTCAACAGGCATCCCTTTGTCCACTGTTTATCGTGTTTTGAAAAATATTGCAAATGGATATGGCATTGAGCATCAGGGAGGCGCAGGTAGGCCCAGAAAATTGACTGTCAGTGACAGGAGGCGGCTTGGTATTCTTGTTTCTAAAAACAAACGAAGGAGTTTAGAAAACTTAAGGCTGGATATGATTGATAGAGGAACTGTGGCTGTCTGTAAGGAGACAATTAGAACTGAGCTGCATGCAATGGGTTGGCAGAAAAGTCGAGGAATTCAATCACCGATCATGAAACCTGAACAAAAGGAGCGAAGGTTGAAGTGGAGCTTACAGCATAGAAATGTTAACTGGGACAATGTGATTTTGTCAGATGAAAGTTCTGTGTGACTGTTTCCTAATGCACTGAAACTCTGGACCAAACAAACTGAAAAACCTTTGTATCAGCGCCCAAAGTACAGCCCGAAATTTAACGTGTGGGGTGGCATATCTGTGTTAGGGGAAACGCACCTCTGTGTATTTGAAGGGAATATGAACAGTGAAGAGTATATATATCCACAGATATTCTCGAGGGACATTTACTTCCATCTGCTCACGTGTTCTATGGAAAGGTTTGGATTTTCCAGCAGGACAACGACCCAAAACATCGTTCAAAGCATTCACAGGCCTAGTTTCGGACCCAAAATATGACATTATTAGATTGGCCAAGCTATAGTCCTGGCCTAAATCCAATAGAAAATGTTTAGGGGCTTTTGAAGGAAAGTGTCAATAAGAAAAATCTGACAAAAATTGCTGCAATGAAAGAAGAGGTGGTCCGATATTGGGACAGCATGGACCATGACTTTCCAACTTCTTTGATCAGTAGTATGCCCCGCCGCATTGAAGCCTGCATTGCTGCCCATGGTGACTTCACAAAATACTAACTGTTCACCTGTCTTTGAATCTGGAGTTATGTTCTGCTAATATTCACATTTAATACGTGAGTAATGAGTGAAAAAAATCAAAAAAATCACAATCTTTAAATTCTCAATAATTTCTGGTTGTATCCTTTTAAGGATATATCTAGTATATATCTACATATCTATTTGTATCTATATATCTATATCTATTGAACACTTTACAGTTTCAGGTATACCTGGAGCGTCTCATTGCCTCTGGCCGTCTGTGTCAAACCCCTGCCCTGCCTGCGAGATAGGATGGTATGGTGATGCCTGTAAGTTCAGCTGTTCCTTCTGCGACAGCGGCGGCTGTCACAGGGACACCGGGATATGTAAACAGTGCCGAGCCGGCTACTTCTCTCACACCTGTAACGTGACATGTCCCCCCAGCTGTAGATACAGTCACGGTGACAAGCCCCACTGTAGTCAGGAGGCAGGGCACTGTCTGGAAAACTGTCAAGACGGCTGGTGGGGAGACTGGTGTGAGAGGAAGTGCAGTGGTGGATGTGAAGACAACTCCTGCTACTTCTGGGACGGGTCGTGTGCTAGAGGATGCAGGGATGGTTGGGCCGGTGACAGTTGTGACACCAGGTGTCCAGTGGGGTGTCACGGTGACACATGTGAGAGGTACGGCAGCCATAAGTGCACACAAGGATGTAAACACGGTGTTCACGGACATCGCTGTGACAAGCAGTGTAACAGACACTGTAGACATCAGGACTGTTTCTATGACCACGGTATGAAGTCTACAGTCTGCAGACAGGGCTGTGTGGATGGCTGGATGTCCCTCGACTGCAAGATGAGGTGTCCTGGTAACTGTGAGGCATGTTCTCAAGAGACTGGGGAATGTACCAGATGCAAGCCAGGCTACTCGGGATCTGACTGCACTAGACCATGTAGTGACACGTGTTTAAATAGGACATGCGGACCAGATGGTCGATGCAGTAGATGTCAGCTCGGTTACCATGGGGACAGGTGTGGAACATATTGTGATGCTGACTGTATCGGGTGCCTGGAGGCCAAGGGAGGATGTAGATGTAGGAGGGCGTGCACTCAATCCTGTCTGCATCACATGCTACCCGACACGACATGTCTTCATGTAACTCAGAAGGAAAGTCACACAGGTACGAAGCCTTACCTTCAGCACTCCTTGTGTAACCGTGCCCAATCAGATCAGGTGACGATTGTTACTGAATAGCACTCTAAGTCCAGAAGTCTTGACATTTGACTTGATATGTACTTAAAGATGAGCCTCTCACCATGGCTACATGACTACATATTAACAATAGTTTTATATATTATACCTTGGACAGGTAGAACATGTATTTGAGGTCTCCACATTCTTTCCCCTGGTAGTTCATGGGATCAGTTATTGTTGATATCATTGCTGCTGTTGGCGGGTTTTCCGCCCATGGGCGAGATATTTTAATATCGCTCTAAATTAGCCGAATTAAGCCAAAATGAGTTGAAATTTGTGTCATGATGCTTATAAACATACACTCATACAGTTACAACCTCCAAAAACATGAATTCTGCGCGAAAGTAAACATTCTTCAATTTTGAGGTTTCGAAAACAATTTTTAAATTTGTTTCATCCTTAGCATATATTCATAACAACTGCATGTTTAATTTTGTCGAATCCGTTGTCCGAAAGTGTCCACGGTGCGGAGAGTTTCTGGACTTTTGTGAGTCCAGAATTAAATTGTGACGTGTTTATTGTATCTGTACTGATGGAGAACAAATTATGCTTTCAGATGACAACATCCACGAAATGACATCGAGGAATGGATCCAGCTTTTGTGGATTTACCTTATCAGTCTTCATATATGTTATAATCGTGTTGACTTTTTCACCCACCGCTGATGTCATCTATTCATTCATTGTACTGTAAATATTCATATGTTATTGATACTGTTGTGTATGGAAGAACTAGTGTTATATGGCGTGTGTTTCCTAATCTGTATCTCGTCAAACAATTTGAACCTATTACACTCGCAGGATTAGCTAACAATACACCCATATAAATATGACAAAGATATGAAAATGGCGAAAAATGGAGAATTATTTTGTTGTACTGTGTTTGTACTCGAGACAAATAGGAAGGGAGTTGGTCAGTTTAAGGTAAAGGTCACCTCTGCAGCACCTCAGCTGTATAGCGAGGGACATAACGCGTAATAGATAATGTTTGCAGTACTCAATCGTTGTCTCATCTGCAACTACCTTCCCCGTTTTAGTGTCGCTCAGTGTGTGTGTGTGTGTTTGTGTGTGTGTGTGTGTGTGCGTGTGCGTGTGTCTTGTATTGAAAGTACACCGGTATATGTACAGATATATGACAAGAATATACTACAATAAAGGAAAAAGAAATCCCGTGACATTAAAGACGTTCAGAGCATTATTAAATTCCTTTAATTGCTCAGGCCTTGTTTTATGTGTGGGTTGGAAGAAAGCTGATTCCCAATATACTGGCGTTTTAATACATCCTAGGTTTCCGACAACTCGCTATCAGTGAAAGAATTACGATATGCGTGGACAAGCAATAAATTATGAAGCTACTAAAACAAAGGTAGAGCCGAATACGTCGGTTATAGTGATAGAAAAAGTGCTAGATCTACTTGAGGGGAACCTCGAGGGGAACCTCAAGTAGATCTAGCACTATCACTTCACGGTTACAGATTTCACCTGCACTGATTTATGGCGGCATATGTTGTGGCTTACAGTCAGTTGGAAAGCCAGCATAATTAAGGGGTTATAAAAGTAAAACTCGAGCTGGACATACTGGCTATGTACAAAAATACGCTAAGAGATGAGTGTTTTCGTCATTAAAACATCATCTAAATGGGTAATATATTGTATAATCAGGTCATATCGTATGTTATATAGACATGTTCAGATATGGGATCAACCCAAGATTGTCCGAGAAGTGGTGGTTAAAGAGTGCTACATGCTACTGCTGATGCCTGGTTTGAGGAGAGTATCGGACCAAACTTGCAAGAGGTGGACATTAGACCCATAAGTTCGGTATTTGTCCCTGTATTGACTTCTTCTCCAACGCCGAGATGGAACGTTCTGCGTTCGACAAATAATTTGTTGGAGAATGTGGAGAAAGTGGGATGATGTGGGCAGCCATATCCTACACAGGGGAATTTGACATGGTGGTGGTGGTTCAGGGGAAACTGATATCAAAAAGGGTAAACGAGCACGTTATCAGCGTCTCCATCTTCCGATCTTCAAGTGATAGAGGGAGCTATAGTAGCATGACACAAATACACACCACACACAGCTCGTATCTTGTTGACTTGACTCATGACACAAATACACACCACACACAGCTCGTATTTTGTTGACTTGACTCATGACACAAATACACACCACACACAGCTCGTATCTTGTTGACTTGACTCATGACATAACCGGCAATGTCTGGCCACGGTATTCAAGATCTCTGGATCTGAAACCGACAGAGCTTCCTTTGAATGAAATCCACAGACGTGTACGTCAACGTCAACATTCGCCACAGACTGTTAAACAATAACCCAACTCGAGGCAGGAAGTATGGAGAAGGTGCTCAACATGTTGAGTTCATCCTGGTATCAGTGAAAATACAAATGAAATATGAACGGTACATATAAAATAATCAGTTTTGCTAGTTGCAAGGAATATCTTAGTTATGCCAAAGGAAGACATATGTCCACTAATGAATTTAAATGGAATATATATGTTTAATATGTCACCACACACATATACACATCTATTTTCTGTGATATGACTCAGTGCCATTATAGGCGAAACAAATTGTTTGAAAACGACCTTTGAAAACATCACAGATATCGCTTCTTTTGGCATAATTATTACCAAGTTACCATTCACTCCGTTGTTTTCGGCTTTTTTTCGAAGAATGCAATCACATATTATTAAAATTCAACGGTAAGCGTCGCCAATGGTAAAAGTAAACTTCGCCATAGCGTAGAATCGTTTTAGAATCTTTCAAAATACCTAAACATGAGGTGAATGTTCCCTCATAGTGGGCTCTGTTTACAATATACACTTATATGTCAGCTATGCTTGCCATGTTACATCTCATTTATTTCAAACCCAACTGTAATACTTACATCTGTAATTTCTCACACATTTTAGAATTTACGCAATACAAACTAAACGATACGCTATTTACAGACTTATGATTTGATTAAAAACTTACTGTAATACAACTGGCCAACGTTCGCCCTGTTCCGTCTTCCATACACGCCTACAGACAAAATTATGGTAATTTATAACAATTGGCTATATAAAACCTCAATAGAAGCAAGGTCCAGTTTTGCATGCTGCAAAGGGTTAACATAAGGATACATTTTGGACTGACTGATCAAGCGAGCGAGGTAGGGGCTGAGGCGAAGTTGGGGTGACTCACCCTTACTCACTCCATGTCGTTAACAGTTTTCAGTTTACATGCCGGTCGGTAATGACAACACTACATATTAGTCAGTGAGTAGAAATGCAGGCAAGTGAAACAGAGTTATTTCCCTTGTATTGCAGCTCAGAACTTTTGAAGGTATATGTACCTCGTGTCGGTAATTGACAACACTACATATTAGTCAGTGAGTAGAAATACAGGCAAGTGAAACAGAGTTATTTCCCTTGTATTGCAGCTCAGAACTTTAAGGTATATGTACCTCGTGTCGGTAAATGACAACACTACATATTAGTCAGTGAGTAGAAATACAGGCAAGTGAAACAGAGTTATTTCCCTTGTATTGCAGCTCAGAACTTTAGGTATATGTACCTCGTGTCGGTAATTGACAACACTACATATTAGTCAGTGAGTAGAAATACAGGCAAGTGAAACAGAGTTATTTCCCTTGTATTGCAGCTCAGAACTTTAAGGTATATGTACCTCGTGTCGGTAATTGACAACACTACATATTAGTCAGTGAGTAGAAATACAGGCAAGTGAAACACGTTAGTGGTCGTCACTGAGTTATTTCCCTTGTATTTCAAGTTAATATGTGTCTTTGATCCGAGGCGATATGATAACAAATTGGGTGTTTCTTTTGTGATGGGATAAACGTGTTTGTAAAACTTTCACGCCTCAGACGTAGCAGATTTAACGAACTGTAAATACAAGACAATATCATGACGTACCCATGGAAGAAATACTCGTCCCCATTATAAACCCATATGTTGGTGCCAAACTGGTCCATACATTTGTAATGGTGTCAAGTACGAACAGAATCCTTAAACGGTGACAGGTTTTATGGAGGCATGGTTTGTCAGTGACCAGTATAATGAATATATGTAGGTGTGTTTCACGCCGGATAACCTGACTCTAGGTGACCAGTTGTAGTCATTTATGATGCTTCTACAACAAATAATAACAATGAATAAACATATGGAAATCAAATCAATCCATAAAAGTGCTCATTTGAAACATTTTAAAATTGCGAGGATATATTTTGTGTTGGTTAAAAAGAACACAAAACACAAGGTAACAATGTTATGCAATGAATGTCCCTGCGTGTTTTGCACCTAGTTGTTAATGGTTTTTTGTAGTTTAACAATATTTTCATCAAAATGTTTTCTACTGTAGCGGAGTCATGAACAACGATAACCCGAACAACTATCAACATCGGAGTGAAATGATAGAAGGGAACCATTTCGTTATATAACAATCATTCATATCATGTCCGTCTGTGAAATACATGTTGTATACAACACACACATGTCACTAAGACGTTGGAGTTGTTTCCCCTTCATTACACGGAGCTATGAAATGACGAGATTGCTCAGCTGATGGTGACACGAAGTAACGCATAGTCCAGGAAGTATTGTCCGATTTCACAACAGTTTACACAGCCTTGTGTTTAAGTGGTATCGTCAATACTCATTGTGAAAATATATTTTGTAATTAAATTTGGACTATGCTCACAGTCATTTTAGTATTCATTTATTCATATTCGGGATAAAATCCTTCTTGCACATTAATATTAAGATGTTTCAACACCAGTTATATTACAACGTGTTAGTGACAGAGGGGAGGAGAGGTGAAAGTCTCAACAAGGAACACATGACCACGTTGACGAAAGCATGTGGTGATATCAACCCAAGGTTTATAATACAGACTGGCTACCAGTGACCCGTTTTGACTGGAACAAGCAGATTCTATGTCTTTCTGAAATACGTCGCTATGATTCCACTAGATGCGAAGAAATGACCTGCGAGATGAAGTTATCACGAACGTTAAGACGGTGTAGAACATACTGTCCACTTGGGGATTTGAACGCACCATCACAGGTACATGATGCGTATTAGTCAAATACATAACTACATGTATTTGTTACGAGCTTTTTTGGTATATTTGTGAGATAGGTAAGGTACTTTTGTAACCCTAATACTACACTAGTAACATACACTTACGACAGTCGTAGAGCTAGAGGTATTTCGACAAGGACACCCAGGACTGTTTCTATGACAGTGTGAAGTCTATAGTCTGCAGACATGGTTGTGTGGATGGACGTCTGTCGACTATAAGCAGATATGCCTGGTAACTGTGTGACAAGTTCAGGATAATAGTCGAATGTTGAGAACAACCTCATAATTGTGTACAGTGTTCAACGTCAGTACAGACAACATGTCATCAAATGAATGTCATTCAACAGTATTTGTATTTATTTAAATAGGCAGTAGGATATAGACGGAAGCATTAGTCTTAGTGACGCACTATTTATACTTATATGTATTACTCTATACTATACTACCCATCAAAAGTTTAGACTCGCTTAAATCAATCACTATAAGTTATGTATGTACATATGGTTACAACGAAGATGAATTTCTCCACTAACTTGGGGGAAACATCTGCAAACCTTATGCAGATTAATTGCACGAGGATCATGCATCAAATTGCTGAAAAGCATGTGCAAATATCGTTCATGTGAACAGCTGCGTTTTGGTGTAAAGTTTTGATAAAAAATCGCCATTTTTCACCGAGTTTCATCATTTACTGAACAGATGACAATAAACTTTTCAACGTCACGAATTTGTTTTACAATACACCAGCTCATTTATAAACAGTACCTTTAAACTGTATGGATTATTTTACAAAATCTAGTTCAGAACAGTTGACTGAAGTAAGTGGCTACGTTTACACTGGTGAGTCAAAACTATTGATGGGGAGTATATTTGAGACCGCTTCTTAGCGTCCTCGACCCGTGAAGATCCGGGTTAGAATTGATCTTCAGCAACCCATGTTTGTCGTAAGAGGCGACTAATGGGATCGGGTGGTCAGGCTCGCTGACTTGGTTGACACATGTCGTCGTATCCTAATTGTATAGATCGATGCTCATGCTGTTAATCACAGGCTTGTCCGATCCAGACTCGATTATTTACAGACTACTTCCATATAGCTGGAATATTGTTGAGTGTGGTTTTAAACAATAAGCGGACCAAATCGTTGCGTCACCTCTGATATGACTTGAACATCCTTTAAACACACGCACATATTTGTACAACATATTGGAAACGTAACATACGTGTACTGTATTTCCTAAAATATCTGCAATGAATACCTACTTCCTGATTGATATTGCAATTCGTTGGAAACCAAATATATTACGTTTGCACATCTACCTCATACACTGTGAATATCCTGGGTGAATAATCCCAGATATTGATTGCTACACGAACAAATTAAACTTACAAAGATTCATGTCACTGACGAAGCTACGATTACTTATATGCATGCCCCCTATGTTGTCGTTTCTTTGCGTAACATGCACGATACAAGCCTTAAGTAAACAGTGTTATCAAGCTCTATCCACTTATCGATCTTTGTGAGGACATACCTGGGGCCACTTGCACAAAGTTAGCGCTATGACCATCTTAGATCTATTTTACAGTATGTGAGTTTCGAGCGTTGTAGCACTAAGATTGCTTTGTGCAAGTGAGTCCTGGTCTGTTTTGTAGATACAGGTGAGATAACAGTGTAACAGATATAGACACCAAGCAAATGTCTGCTCTGACAAGCTTGAGGTCAGAAGGGCTAAAGTCCCTGTTGCATACCTTGATTGCATTAATCTACACCATCAACAAAACGTGACATAATCTTTTAGAAACCTTTGTTTCATAAATGAGGGCAAATATACTTGGTCGTTTGACGGAATATTTTCTATATCATGAACGAAAATATATCTCAGTAGAGAGGATCGTGTAGAATGTAATTGTTTTCGTGAAAAGTATTGATACATGGACAACACAACATTAATTCGATCGTTAACTGACCCCATACTCAGCTTAATTACCTTGTAATGACTAAGCTTATAATTCCTGCTGACACTTGCAGTCAACAGCACTGTTATTTGTTTAGTCAGTGCTACATCAACTTCCAAACACCCTTCGTTGTATCTCCGGGGCACTTGGATTGACGTGCGTCTCAGGGGATTACCCTTCTCCTCGGAAAACAACACGGAAGCTTTGAGTTGATTACAGCTGATAAGTTATAAGGACACTATCATTGACATAGTAACTATATACAAGAGATCTCCCATGCAAAGTTGACGCTTCCAGGGAATATGAATCACAACAGATAATTTAGCATTGTGGGTACTTGGGACGAAGTGGTGATTTCCCTTGATCTTTGTCTCACTGCCTATATATTGGACGGACCAATTCTAATCAACGAAAAAGGAAGGCAAGGTAATTGCAGAAATGTGTTCTTAAAATTCAAGTAATATAGGAGATGATGATGATGATGATGATGATGATGATGATGATGATGATGATCTTTTTTTCATTCTAGGACGAAATGACCTTGATCATGTCAACAGTAACTCTTCTACTACAGCTGCTATGTTCAGGTAAGAACTTTTATACTTTTAAGGATATATCTAGTATATATCTACATATCTATTTCTGTTTGTATCTATATATCTATATCCATTGAACACTTTACAGTTTCAGGTATACGTGGAGCGTCCCATTGCCTCTGGCCGTCTGTGTCAAACCCCTGCCCTGCCTGCGAGATAGGATGGTATGGTGATGTCTGTAACTTCAACTGTTCCTTCTGCGACAGCGGCGGCTGTCACAGGGACACCGGGATATGTAAACAGTGCCGAGCCGGCTACTTCTCTCACACCTGTAACGTGACATGTCCCCCCCAACTGTAGATACAGTCAGGGTGACAAGCCCCACTGTAGTCGGGAGGCAGGGCACTGTCTGGAAAACTGTCAAGACGGCTGGTGGGGAGACTGGTGTGAGAGGAAGTGCAGTGGTGGATGTGAAGACAACTCCTGCTACTTCTGGGACGGGTCGTGTGCTAGAGGATGCAGGGATGGTTGGGCCGGTGACAGTTGTGACACCAGGTGTCCAGGGGGGTGTCATGGTGACACATGTGAGAGGTACGGCAGCCATAACTGCACACAAGGATGTAAACCCGGTGTTCACGGACATCACTGTGACAAGCAGTGTAATAGACACTGTAGACATCAGGACTGTTTCTATGACCACGGTATGAAGTCTACAGTCTGCAGACAGGGCTGTGTGGATGGCTGGATGTCCCTCGACTGCAAGATGAGGTGTCCTGGTAACTGTGAGGCATGTTCTCAAGAGACTGGGGAATGAACCAGATGCAATCCAGGCTACTGGGGATCTGACTGCACTGGACCATGTAGTGACACGTGTTTAAATAGGACATGCGGACCAGATGGTCGCTGCAGTAGATGTCAGCTCGGTTACCATGGGGACAGGTGTGGAACATATTGTGATGCTGACTGTATCGGGTGCCTGGAGGCCAAGGGAGGATGTAGATGTAGGAGGGTGTGCACTCAATCCTGTCTGCATCACAAGCTACCCGACACGACATGTCTCCATGTAACTCAGAAGGAAAGTCACACAGGTACGAAGCCTTACTTTCAGCATTCCTTGTGTAACGGTGCCCATTCAGATCAGGTGACGATGGTTGTTGAATAGGACTCTAAGTCCAGAATATGTCTTGACATTTGACTTGATATGTACTTAAAGATGAGCCTCTCATCATGGCTACATGACAATGTATTTTTATATTTTATACCTTGGACAGGTACAGCATGTAAGGTCTCCACATTCTTTTCCCCTGGTAGTTCAGTTGTTGATATCATTGCTGCCTTTGGCGAACGTTGAATATGTTTCATATCTGTTTTCAAACGTACAAAGAGAATGCAGTGGAAAATGTATGTGTGTTGTATCTGTACTGATGGAGAACAAATTATGCTTTCAGATGCCAACATCCACGAAATGACATCGAGGAATGGATCCAGCTTGTGTAGATTTACCTTATCACCCTTCATATATCTAGCCATCGTGTTGACGTTGTCACCCACCTCTGATGTTATCTGTTCATTCATTGCACTGTAAATATTTATATGTCATTGGTGCTGTTGTGTATGGAAGGACTACTGTTATATGACGTGTGTTTCCTAATCTGTAGCTCATCAAACAATTTGAACCTATTACACTCGCAGCATAAGTTAACAATACAACCATATAAATGTGACAAAGATATGAACATGGAGAAATTATACCCAGATAAATTAGATTTTCTTATTGATAATCACTGCCATTATTACTTTCCTTCACAGTATTTATTGTTTTGTACTAAACGTTTTAATTGTTTTGTTGTACTGTGTTTGTACTAAGGACAAGTAACAAGGGAGTGAGTCAGTTCGGCTTGCGGTCACCTCTGCAGCTGTATAGCGAGGGACAAACACGTAATAGATACGTAATAGATAATGTTTGCACAACTCCTTCCGCGTTGTAGTGTCGCTCAGTGTATGTGTGTGTTTGTGTTTGTGTTTGTGTGTATCTTGTATTGAATGTACACCGATGTATATATAAATATATATGACAAGAATATAAAATAATAATCACATATAGTTCACAGGAATTGTCAACTACAACAAAGGGAAAAAAAAGTCCCGTTACATTAAAGACGTTCTGAGCATTATAAGAAGTAGCATAATAAGCCTCCCTTGGACCTGGTAAGTCTGTGAAGGTATCCTCGCTTGTCAGTCAAGGCAACGTGTGTGTTGAATCTGGGATGATCTTATATTTGTGTTGCTGAGCGGTGACTGCAGTCGGAAGTCATAACTAATGAGATTTCACATAATGTGAACTAAATGTACAGGTTACACTCGAGGTAACGTCCTCTGAAAGTACATGTGTTGTCAGTTAACAAGTGTTTGAGAGAGGGCTAGGACATGAACATGTATGTTTCAGTTTGAATACTGTTGTGGATACTGTGGAATATACTGCTCACAAAAAGTAGGGGATATTGAAAAGTTGAGACAAATAAAAGCAAACGTATGTTTAATTGTCATTTGAAAACAATGTTCATGTGGAAATAGGGATGTCTAGCACCAGTTGTCAACAAATTAACTTTGATAACAATGCCGATGTTCTTTGTGGATATTGCGAAGTTCATCAGGGGTGATAACCCAAATGTCACAAACCGGTTAATAACGGGCGGGCCCACCATTAGTTGCCAAACAAGCATGGCATCGACGTCTCATACTCCTAATGAGGTGACCAATGTCAACTTGAGGAATCCTCTGCCATTCCTCTTGAAGTGCCACGCCCAGTTCTGCCAAATCTCGACATGAGGGTGCCGCCCCTCCACTCGTCGTACGAGCATATCCCACAGATGTTCAATGGGTGAGAGATCGGGGGACATCGCTGGCCATGGAAGAGTTTGGATTTGGTTCTGCCAGAGATGATCAATGACAACGCGAGCACGGTGAGCCCTGGCGTTATCATCCTGGAAAATAAAACCTTGCCCGTGGCGGGGTGCACACGGCAGGACGTGTGGCGTGATGATGTGGTCACGGTAGTAGACAGCGGTGACTCTCCCTTGGCAGATGTGGAGATCAGTCCTGCCCGTCATCGTGATTCCATCCCACACCATAACAGACCCCCTTCCATATCGATCATGAGGAATCATGGCGACTGCCTGGTGGCGTTCACCAGGGCGTCTGCCAGACACGATGACGGCCGTCACTGAAGTCCAAGGTGAACCTTGACTCATCGACGAACATCACATGGGACCACCGGGCATTGTTCCACCGCTGGCAACGGGATGAAACGTCGCCTTGCTCGAAGGTGTGCAGCATGGAGACGGTTCCGTATAGAGATGCGGCTCCCAGTGGCCTGTCTGTGTACTTGCTGCAGCTGTGTCGCATTTTTCGTCGATCACGGAGGGCTCCAGTGATGATCCGCCGGTCATCGCGTCTTGTGGTACATCCTGGGCGACCACTTCGAGGCCTATCCTGGACTCTTCCAGTGGCTGTGTAACGTGCCCACGACCTGCTGACTACAGACTGCGAGACACCCGGTTGTGCTGCTGTGTGGGCTTGTGTTCTTCCGGCCTGGAGCATCCCTATGGCTCTCAATCTTTCGTCTTCTCGTAATCTTCGCATGGTGGAAAGTGGTGAAATGGTGGATGGCCATGGTCTTAACCCCACATGTATAGCAAACCTTGCATTTTGCCACTTGCACGTGTGAAACATGGTGTGATGTTTCATACCCACCCCCTGGTGCGTTTGAGTTCAATGTTTTCGGATCTATGGACACCTGGTGGTCACCGTGCAACATGCTAAGGTGGACCAATGGTTATACTCAAACATACTTAAAGTACTCGGAGGAATCTATATTCCTGTGTCTTTGCCCCTGTGTTTAACTTCAGTACCCGCTACTTTTTGTGAGCAGTATATGAATGCTGAAAAGTCCGGAATATGATGTGATGTGATGTGATATCATATCATATCATATCAATATCACGATGGGAGAGACCAGAAATAGATTTTATACATTGTACTCATGTGGAGAATCGAACCTGGGTCTTCTTCGTGACGAGCGAACGTTTCAGTCATCAGGCTAACCAACCGCCCAGTAGAATATAAAAAAGAGCTGAATGAACTATATGTGGATGTATTTAATCTAACTACAGCTGTAGAGCTGTGTCTTATTGATTATTCAGAAACATCTCAGGACTCAAATCAAATACTGTTTAGGGACTTACGAAAATGAAAGATCAAACTGAAAATGATCTCGATACTTAAATTTGTTTCCGCCTAGATTACTCATGTGACTCCCCATATTTGGCAGTTAGAGGTCCCAGTGTTAATGTCACTATCTAACCCAGGTGGCGTTACACGCACGTTGATGTTGTGGCGCGTGCAACTGAACCTACATCTATCCAGACACAGTACAGGCCAGTGGAGGACCAGTCGCAGTTCGAGTTACGTCCCTTTATCACAGAATCACATATTTAACCATCCTTGGTTTACAAATACGGTCACTGTGGTGGACATCTTAGACATGCATAATCTAGGAATTTCCTCAAACATTACACATTGGACACTCATACATTATGCAGTTCAGTGGAGACTAACACCAGTAATTTGACGATCCATTACAGTTCAGAATGAGCACCTGTTAAATGTTGCTGATGCCCTGATGCCCTGATGCCCTGATGCCAGACAGGACGCCAAGTAGCACATCATCCTGCATGATCTGAGCTTTAGGTTGGTTTGAAACATAAGTTTTGGTAGCGTGTAACAATACAAGTATGTGTTTCAACCGGCACCAATTTACTCAACTGAATGAATATACATTTTACATCAGTTCATAAACACCAATTGTTAATATCATAATATTTTAGATGAATACGTTGCTCAAGTCCCAAGTCTGAAATTGATACATTTCATTTTCTGATCACAAGAGACCATTATTTATTTACCACCTCCATCACATCATCAATATTACTACTGCTATCAGACATTATACAAGTGCAAATGTGTTCAAATTATTGAGAAATGTTTACTTATTGCATTAGAAAATATCACCCCAATTACTTCCTTTGACGATCATATTGAGTACTCCTTGCCACCCGGTAACATTTCTTTAACTGTCACGTGGTATTTTATAGCATACATAGTGCTCAATGTGTGCATTAGTGACAAGAACTGTGGAGGTGTCTCTGGTAAGTACGGCAATCCGCCTGTTTCTACATCATACACTTGGAGGTAATAACGATACCTATGTACAACTGAGTAATTGTCCGCATAGTGTTAGGATAAGTTTGTATATTCGTAGTTTTTGTTTGAGGCACGAGTTGTCCAATCGTTTAGTGCACCGCTGTCGGTATTGCTGGGTCCCATATTCCTGCTTTGGTAAAACAAATCCTAGATTCACAACTACCGATTTTGCTTCTCAGTCATCAGTACCATGTTATTGAGCTTTATCAAATGGGAAAACTTCCAAGACTTGTATCACTTTGGGGTTTCGGAACACATTGTGCCAACACACCTCCAAATAACTGAAATAATGGTCAACGTTAAACTCAACTCACTCACAGACACTACGTTGTTTCAGTTGTGACATCGACGATCTAGGAATGGACATGACGTATATGTTGGTGGCGTTCTTCTGTGTGTCAGGCCTACGAGGAGGTACGTCCATTTTGATTTAAAATGGGTTATCGCGAGAAAAACAGAACACAAAAATAGAAAATTAATAGAAATGTTGTACAACTGGAGCATTATGAAAACGTACTTTTTTGTATGTCCAAAAGCAGTTATTTGTTACATAAACAATAAAGCTCTTTTTAGAAAAATAATCAATAAAACAAAATACGTGTCAACATGTTTCACTTATTACATATTCATAAGGAAATATAATAATACTAGCTTCACTGCATAGTTTCTGTGGTGGCACAGTATTATTCAGACAACACTCTGTGGTATAATGTCACTACTTCCAGTGCTCCTGGCTCCATGCTGTGACCACTGTGAGGGCCAACCTACAGACGCTGACTGTCAAATATGCAGGAATAGAACCAGGACCTGTTCTGAACCTTCGCAGGTTGGTACAGTTTAACGTTCGATTTCTGTTTCCTTACGATAGAGATGACTGCTAAACATCATTGTAGCAAAACAGGACATGTGTGTTGCAGTACAAGGCTTATTGGAGAACATGTATTTCCCTTGCCGTTGAGCCAATCATATCTTACATGTAAAATATTTTTGCTTACAGCATTCGACTAATTTGTAAAAGGTTCTTTCTGTTCTTTACGAAATATTTAGTGTTTGACAAATTAGGAAACAAAATCGTGAAACCCAATTTTCAGTAACCATTACCATAGTCAAGAGTGACTAATGCCATAGCTGCATCAATCATTCACTCACAGGCCTACAGATCTCTGAGTGAGTGACATAGCTGCATCAATGACATAGCTGCATCAAGCATTCACTTCACACAGGCCTACAGATCTCTGAGTGAGTGACATAGCTGCTGCATGACATAGCTCTGCATCAATCAGATCTCTGAGTGAGTGACTAATGCCATAGCTGCATCAATCATTCACTCACAGGCCTACAGATCTCTGAGTGAGTGACTAATGACATAGCTGCATCAATCATTCACTCACAGGCCTACAGATCTCTGAGTGAGTGACTAATGACATAGCTGCATCAATCATTCACTCACAGGCCTACAGATCTCTGAAACATATTCGGATTGATGTAAACATAGCAAAAGCCCTCCAATTAAACTACATTTTCATCTGGATGTTCTTGTAAAACGAGTGTAAACAAGTTCATACCAAAATGTACACATTGAGCTACGAGCACAACAATGTCTTTTCACCGAACCAAAATCTTTATTCATATATGGAGAGACTGTTGCCTCGTTTTTTATATTTTACGTATTTTCATCCTCAAGTTTTGAAAAAATGTATTTCTCTTCCTCTTACAACAGACAACCCCGGGTGAAATGGTACAGCCTTACTTGTGTCCAGATCCGCGTTTCATTGGCACAGATTGTGACAAGAACTGTTCAGATGCATGCGTGAACTCCCGCTGTGAACTACAGGAAACAACCCTGGTCTGTACAGACGGATGTATTGACGGTAAGAAGGGAATATACTGCCAGGAAGATTGTCTGTCGACATGCTCCAAGTGCGAACGCTACGGTAGTGTTTGTCTACAGTGTCGGGAGGCACTTAGCTATGGAAAGAAGTGTGACAAACGTTGTCCTCCAAACTGCAAAGGTGGATGCGCCAAAGAGACTGGTATTTGCACAACGTGTGCATCGGGATTTAAAGGAACCAAATGTGAAACACCTTGCAGGCCAGGTTGTGAGGTATGTCCTCGTTACACGGACGGATGTTTCACGTGTTTGTCTGATCGCTATTACGGCAAGGACTGCAGGTTTCCTTGTCCACAGAACTGTCTTCAATGCAAGAAAGACACGGGAGACTGTACTGAGTGTGTGCATGGATACAGCGGGAAACAGTGTAAGGGTTACTTTATACATCCCTGTTTACTGCATGTACTCTATTCTATTGGGATTTCAACATTTGTGTAGAAACTGGAATTTAGAACAGCTTCCTCGTGTGATGGATTTTTGATACTGATGAAGTTGTACATTGTGGGTGTTTTCATACTAAATTTCATGAATTGAATACATATTACAAACAGTAGTTGTACATTTGATTTTTATCTAATTTTGGTTTGTGATGCATACATAGTTTAAGTTATACAATGAACTGACAAGGAAATATTGTAATTTATAATATGAATAATCCTGCTAATGAGAGACTAAGGAATAGAATGAATGCACCAGGCAATAAATAAATACACACGTGAGCAAATACGAACTCATAATGATAAAAAAGAAACTAAAACACAGTAGGTTGATATTCAAATGTGCAGAATATAGTAATTGAAATGTACTGGCAGTCATCGCTTTCCTCGTGTCGTTTGTCACTACACGTATGTGAACAACTATTTACATGAATATTTCATTTGTATTTAGGCACCGAACATGTACAGAAACTGGACCCTAATACCGTCCTCATCACGTGTTCGGTCCTGGGAGTTGTCTTGTTTGGAGGAGTCTTGTTGTTCCTCCACAGACTGTGCACTAACAGACACCAGAGGAGGTAAGTTATCGTTACTGAACATCTGTGTACTGAAATAAACGGCAGACACTTTTGACTCAAACAAATGTAAGCGGTTAAATCAATGACATACGGATATGTATGCAATAATCTTAACCTTATATTTCAGACCGGAGACAAATCCACCAACTGGCAATCAGAATACGTCAACCATGGACGTGAGGGCGAGACATGGAATGCTGAATCATGAATCCAGAGATTATGATGTCCCTCATAAATACTGGGAGATCCATGATACTGACCTAGACACAGTTACACAGTCAACTGCATCTGTACAAACTGGAGACATGGGTGGAGCATCTAATACAATGAGGTATCACCCCAAACCAGATATCCCAAAGAAACGATGTGAAGATGGTTGGTTTCATCCAGGTAAAGAGTCCAACAGAACGAGCTGCTTCAGGAGATGCAGATAATCATCCTATGGCTGCCCATTTTGGCAACAGCAAGATGGATGGAGATGCATGGCCTTCTGATTTGAACAGTTTGTCTGAAGATCGTGCGATTTCCAATTCAAATGGTGGTTTGCAACTGTCAAGGTGGATTCAAACAATACATGTGGACATGGACAGCTGTGAAAATTCTAGAAGTGTGCCAATACCTGTAGATAAATACTTAACAGCAATAGGTTCAGACATCTCCCATGTTGAGAAAAGCGTTGATGTGGAACATGTGTATGAACTGGGATTGTCCACGGTGTGAACACTGAACACTTGTTCTATTTTGATGATTTTGTGTTGTGAACTGCTTGCTTAAGCCGGACAAACTAAAAATGAATCAAATTGAAGGACGCCGCATTTTGTACAAATGTACAATGTACAAAATGGCTTTTAGTTAGCTTGTAAGAAGTTACTATTACAAGACTTATAATAGATTTGTTATTATATCACAACTTCGTAAAGTACAAACCCTGGACATTATCGTGGTGGTTATATTACTTATGCAAGTTAGACAGACACCTGATGAAAACCCCTCTAGATTCTTGGCGTGAATGACTACCCGCGGAGGTTTGCTGCTTCAACTCTGTCGACCCGCTAGATCAGCTAATATTACAGTCTCTCGAGAAATGTTTCCCGACCCGGACATGCAGTCGTGTGTACGGGGGCGACGCTTCCCTTTTCGCTGTCCAAGCTGTCTAGCACACAGGTATGGTGGCTGATTTGGGCCATCGCTTTCTCGCCTTAAAATTCGGAGGCGAGAAAGCGATATCACGAAACGAGAAAGCGATATTACGAGACGAGAAAGCGATAACACGAGACGAGAAAGCGATAACGCGAGACGAGAAAGCGATAGCACGAGACCGAGAAAGCGATATCATTGCGCGAGAAAGCGATAGAGCAAGAAAGCGATAAAGCGAGAAAGCGATAGAGCGAGAAAACGATATTACCCACAGTTCAGACCTGTCTGCGCATGATCGACTACAAACGGGAGCTCAATCGCCATTCGTAGTTTCTGAATAGTATTAAATGTTTTTCAGTAATGTTCTTGCCCATGAATGGCGTTGTAGGACTTGACGTTTAGAGAATATCTAATACTGATGTAGACTTTCCTTTGGCATGCTATTTGCACGTAGTCATATCATGCAATAGTCATATCGTGAAATAACGGAAACATTCATATTGTGAAGTGACTAAGGGAATTACATATTTTATGCCAATGAGTGGATTCGAATTGTCTTACCAACTTAATGACACCAACCAATTAAATCATGATATTGTGTGACCAATGTGTCGGAAGTGTCAGATGAAAGGGCGGGGCCTATGACAAATAAGGCATTGTGATAAGTATCCTTTCATGGTGAGTGGCCAGCACTAAGACAAGCTAACACCGTACATTTAACAAAATCCAAACCATCATCATAATCAAATCACTGTAACACATTAAGTGAGTTGCGATTTATGCCACTTTTAGCAATATTCCAACAAACTGGAACTTGAGTTTCTTTTGCAGCTCAGTGTATTACATATACATCACATTCAGAGAGTTCAGAAGTATGTGACACTATAAATGAGCCGTATGTAGACAATTCTATAATAATTATCTGTTCTCTGTCTGGTTATAGGTGGAGGAATTAGAAATGAGTTATGGGAACTTAACCATTTATGTTTATGTCACTTAATTGTATTTCAGGGTGATAAAAAATACAGCTGTAGTTTCTTTGAATAAATAAAGATGATGAAATGTATTAACTGACGATCTTCACCTACATGAACCCAAATCGCTCCTACCCAAGGATAGAGGAGACGCACATGACAGTAAAACACCTTGGTACCTCAATGTAGAAACAGTACCATTCCACAGTCAATGGTCTTATCTAAGCAAATAAAAGTATGCAGTCAAACGTTCGTCTAATCAAAGCTGAAAATAGTACGCAGTTAAACACTGGTCTAGCCATATATAGTGAACTTCTTTGGATGGCATTTAGAAGTTGGTGTGCTGAACAACGGGGAAAGTTCTATGGATATACAACTTCTTTATAATAATGTAAGCGACGTTTTGGTGTAGCTGCTAACGCCGTTATCAAGCAAGTGATGTACAATACTGAGTAAAGTTGCAAGTGTCCATGTCATATCACTCCGTAAATAACAACCGTTTGCTCTGTATCATGTTTATCTCATATCATACATAACATCAATAAAAGCATGTTATAAATATATTATTGAGACAGTTTCACTGACATATGTATGCAGAAAGTTGATGTGTAAAGCATTCCGTTTGTGATATGAGGACTGCCATCGTAACATATAATACTGATTTACCTATCTCTAAACGTTGCATTTATATACAGAATATATACACCTCAAAGTTCCAAAAGTTCAAAAGTTCCATTATATATTTCGCTATCCTGCTTTTCATGAATCTAGAAGAAAATTTACACCAACCAAATTGCTCAAACACTCAAACATTGTATCTTATAGAATTGTGTTTACTACCTCAGATTTTACTGTTTTAAAAAACCTACCAAAGTTTATAAATATTATCTTTTCTACTATAACAAAAGTTAGATAATAGACATGTTATACCAACAACTGATTTTCTACAATATATTGTTATACTCCGCCGCCATTTTGACTGTATGTAATAATTGATGTGTGTGATATGTACTCTTATACCACCATTGGTGGTCTGTTCGAGAATAAAAGTAAAGTAAAGGCTACAGCTGGACGTGGTGGCATAGGTTTTGATAAGCTGATTGGTGACACGTGTATCCAATTCACCTTTCGTAACATTTTCGTTTCCAGAGGAGGACTTGAAACTCGTTCAATATATGGAATTATCTACCTGTATTATCTTGTTTATAATTTGGTCAACTCATGTCAAAACGATTCAAATCGAATGAGAGCAATAGGTGACATTCACTGGGATGCAGACAAATAAACCCTCCTACACATCTACAAAACATTTATCATGTACACACTGGAGTGAGTCGCTCCCGTCCTTCTCTATCCCCTACCAAATATGATAAACTAAACTCCTTACAATATAAAGTCCCCCCACACACACACACAAAAAAAAAACAGAAAAGAAAAGAAAAGAAAAAAGAAAAAAAAAAGTCATAGGTGCAAAGACTAGTACCTATCTACCTAGTAGTTACTAGAAGAAACCAAATTACCCTAAACTACCAGACTGGGTCTGAAAACAAAATATCAAAACACCAAACAAAAAACCCCCTTTAAAACATCTCTATCCAACCACATTACAGTGTAAACTAAAGCACGAGACGAGAAAGCGATATCATTGCGCAAGAAAGTGATAGAGCGAGAAAGTGATATTACCAACAATTCAGACCTGTCTGCGCATGATCGACTACAAACGGGAGCTCAATCGCCATTCGTAGTTTCTGAATAGTATTAAATGTTTTTCAGTAATGTTCTTGCCCATGAATGGCCTTGTATGACTTGACGTTTAGAGAATATCTAATTTAGGTGTAGACTTTCCTTTGGCATGCTATTTGCACGTAGTCATATCATGCAATAGTCATATCGTGAAATAACGGAAACATTCATTTTTTGAAGTGACATATTTTATGCCAGTGACTGGATCGAATTTTATGCCATGACTGATTCATGAATTGTCTTAACCAACTTAATTGCCAACACCAACCAATTAAATCATGATAGTTTGGTTTTGTGTGACCAACGTGTCGGGGACAAGTGCTTCACTCAGATGTGAAACCCGGGGGCGTGGATCCAACGCCTATGACAAATGACAAAAAAGGCATTGTGATAAGTATCCTTTCATGGTGAGTGGCCAGCACTAAGACAAGCTAACACCGCACATTTCACAAAATCCAAACCATCATCATAGAATACAATCACTGCAACACCCTACCACATTAAGTGAGTTGCGATTTATGCCCCTTTTAGCAATATTGCAACAAATTGGAACTTGCGTTTCTTTTGCAGCTCAGTGTATTACATATACATCACATTCAGAGAGATTAGAAGTATGTGACACTATAAATGAGCCGTATGTAGACAATTCTATAATAATTATCTGTTCTCTGTTCTCTGTCTGGTTATAGGTGGAGGAATTAGAAATGAGGTATGGGAACTTAACCATTTATGTTTATGTCACTTGATTGTATTTCAGGGTGATAAAAAATACAGCTGTAGTTTCTTTGAATAAATAAAGATGATGAAATTTATTAACTGACGATCTTCACCTACATGAACCCAAATCGCTCCTGCCCAAGGATAGAGGATACGCACATGACAGTAAAACACCTTGGTACCTCAATGTAGCAACAGAACCATTCCACAGTCAATGGTCTTATCTAAGCAAATAAAAGGATGCAGTCAAACGTTCGTGTAATCAAAGCTGAAAATAGTACGCAGTTAAACACTGGTCTAGCCATATATAGTGAATTTCTTTCAGTGTGCTGAACAACGGGGAAAGTTCTATGGATATACAACTTCTATATTCTAATGTAAGCGACCTTTTGGTGTAGCTGCTAACGCCGTTATCAAGCATGTGAAGTACAATACTGCAGGAAAGGTTTATATATACATGAGTAAAGTTTGCAAGTGTCCATGTCATATCACTCCGAAAATAACAACCGTTTGCTCTGTATCATGTTTATCTCATATCATACATAACATCAATTAAGCATGTTATAAATATATTATTGAGACAGTT